TTCGCTATTAGTCAATTGCAAAAGGCGGCCTTACTAGGAACTGCTTCCATCCTGCGACGATATCTGTAATACCATCAAACATCCACATCTGCCTATCCCAGGTCCTGGGAAAGGACTCGATAGGTAGACAAAATGCCAAATCCAGTCTGAACATCTGGCTGACTGTGCGATGATCCATAATAATAATAATAATAATAAAGTTGGAAGGGACCTTGGAGGTCATCGAGTCCAACCCCCTGCTCAGGCAGGAAACCCTACACCATTTCGGACAGATGGCTGTCCAGTATGCTGTCCTAATTTTGTAAGTGGTGGAGAAGCTGGAGAGACAATGCTGGCTGTTTTAGGTTTTCTTTGGCTGGGAAAATTGCTTGTATGTTTTCCATTTGTAAGTTGTTTTACTTGAGATCATAGGTTGACTGAGGGGTGGGGGGTGGAAGAAAGAAACTCACATTGGGTGAGCTGACTATTGCCCAGCTCCCAGCAGATTTGCCCCCATAGACTTTTTCTTACTGTCCTCAGAAACTCCACCTCCCTCACTGAGAACTATTATTCTCTATTTGCCTATTGTTGCAACAATGACTTTTCCAAGCGAGGGTCAGCACTTTTGTACCGTAGTTGAGTTTTGCCCCATTTTATGACGTTTCTTGCCGCAGTTGAATTATTGCAGTTGATAAGTTAGTAACCCGGTTGTTAAGTGAATCTGGCTTCCCCATTGACTTTCTTTGTCAGAAGGTCGCAAAAGGTGATCACACGACTTTGGGACACAGCAACACTAATAAATATGAACCAGTTGCCAAGCATCCAGATTTTGATCATGTGATCAGGGGAATGCTGCAAAGGTCATAACTGTGACTTTTTCAGTGTCATTGTAAGTAACAGTCACTAAATGAACTGTTCCAAGTCGAGGACTACCTGTATCCTACATGCATACCCATAGCCCTCCCAAAGAAATTTCTGCAATTCAGAATCTAATACTGCATGGTCCAATTGGCCAATCTGTAGCTCAGTGCATTGGGCAAGTCAAGCTTGTGTGATTAAGTTTACAATTCAGTAGGTTGCATGAACGTAGTTAGGCTGAGTAAACCTAAGATAATGTGGTGCAAGTGTAACATACTCTAGAAAAAATAGGTCAACTTGTCTTTCTTGAGGCTTCTACCTACTTAAGCACTGCTCAAGGGAAAAAAAGCTTATTGTAATGCATGCTGTTATTAAAAAAAACATCTCTGTCTTAGACCTATGGCAGGGGTTGGCAACCTTGGCTCTTTTATGACTCATGGGCTTCAACTCCCAGAATTACTGAGCCAGCGTTGCTGGCTCAGGAATTCTGGGAGTTGAAGTCCATGAGTCATAAAAGAGCCAAGGTTGCCTATCCGACCTATGGTAACTCTAAATAGTACTTACGTGTAAAGGCAGCTTTGTAGTATTAAATCTAAAAGTATAAGAGCTGTGGTGGCGCAGTGGTTAGAATGCAGTACTGCAGGCTACTTCTGCTGACTGCTGACTGCCAGCAGCTTGGCAGTTCGATTCTCACTGGCTCAAGGTTGATTCAGCCTTCCATTCTTCCAATGTCGGTAAAATGAGGATCCAGATTATTGTGGGACAATATGCTGCCTCTGTAAACCACTTAGAGAGAGCTGTAAAGCACTGTGAAGCAGTTTATTAGTTTAAGGGTTATTGCTATAATGAATATTGCACGACAGTTATGCAGACCTGCACGTTTCTGTACTAGTTTCAGCAGCCCCTTATAATTTTAGTTCTGCCATTGTGCATGACTGTTTTCTAAGTTCTACCTTAGTGACCTTCATATAACATGAGAAGTTCAGCAATTTATTTACTAAAATTTTATGCTGACAACCTTCCGACATCTCTGCCATATCAGTATTTGACATGAGCCTTTTCGTATTATCTCTCTTTCACCCATTTCAACATCTTCATGGTTCACCATCAGTATTGTGTTAAGTTATTTGCATTCTGCATTAAGGACTTTGTAAAGGTTTGGCCCTTGCTTGTTTGAAAACCCAATATAATAGACAGGTAAAGGCATGAAAAAAAAAGTACTACACAAATTCTTACAGAAACATAATTTAGCTTTTATTTATTGAAATTCTTTAAACACTTTGCTACATCAAATCCAGGTACCCAGTGGAAGCCAATTTTAAGTACTTCAACATGAACAAGACAAGGAATGAAGGAAGAGCCTCTGGTCAGCCTAAATACTGGTGCACAGTTCTTAGAAACTCATGTGTTATCCATGAGCCTCTTAAAAAGCACTAAGATGCTAAATACTGCAAGAAGAACCTGTTCCATCTTTCCTTTACGGTTAATTGTTGCAGCATATAACAATGATCAAGGAATTCGGTGATGAAATCCAAAGAGTTTTACCTTTCAAAGGAAATGCACCTAGTACCAAAACCTTAGTGTACCTCTCTGTTCTGCAAGCCTGTGACTTTAAAGCAGCCATAAAAATTTGCAGGGCAATAAAGCTGATACTATAGTTTGATTTGGAATTAATTGGCAATTTCCCAAGAAGGAAAAAAAAATCATTTAAGCTTCTGATGAGAGACAGCATTCGAAAAAGGTACATGTGTTTTTTCATCACAACAACAGTTGAAGAGAAAAAGCTACAAGCATTAGTATCTAACTTGAAAGGGTCTTTGGGAAAGGGCATACTCTTATTATTTTTTGCCCAGCTAATATTGAAGGATAGCACTGGGTTGGTATACCAACAGTCTTATAAACACTGATGAACGACATTATATGACTGGTACCAAAAAACAGACTTAACATGCAAAGGACAGCCACCGCTCAAGGCTAAAGCTATAGGATTTATACCTTCCAGCTAAAACATTTTTCAAATCAAAACAAATTATTTTAATAGAATAAGATTACAGCAATCAAATATACAGGCGAATTCAAGATAACAGACCAGCTCCAAGATGTACACCAAAGAAACCCAACCTAATGAGATGGATGAATCTACAGAAGAAAATACCCTGCCTGCAGGAAGAACACATTGCCTAACTTTTTTTTTTGTCAGTGAACCTGAGTAGTGAGAGCAATAAATATAAAGAGTGTTAAAATGCAAGTCTCACAATGAAGCGGAAAGGACTTCATTTAGATTTGAGCCCATCATTGTAAAATACGATACAGTTTCTAAAACCTTCCCAAGGGATATGTATGAGTGTTCTAGCTAAGGAGAATTACCTTTATTTCATTCACTGAATGCTAGAAACCCAGCCATCACCAATCATTGTAAACAATTAGGACTGACCTTCCTACCCTTCCCTTGAAACAATCCCTTGCTAAAGACATCTGCAACTCAAGTCTTCATTTTTGGTTGGAAGTGTTTTGCTGTCCCACCTTAATATATTTAATATACATATACACATATGGAATTTTAATTAGGCACAATTGCAGGTTAAACGTTCAACAAGTCCTCGTCGCTATCATCATGGTATGATGCAGTGTTCATGGAGTTCTGTAGATCTTCTTGACCAAAAGCAGGGCTGGTTTTGCTATTCTTCCTTCCGTTAGGCAGAGGAGTTTTACCACTGCTTGAAAGCTTGTGAGCTTTGTTATGATAAGGCCTTCTAGTGTTGCTCAAGCCTCTTGAATCAACATCTCTTGCTGAATGAATCTTCACTTCTGGTATTGTCAGTACTTCATCCTCACTGTCCATGTCATCCACCGGAAGGGACATGAGGGTATCTGACATGGCTGCCTTTCGTGATACGTGGCCATTTATGTGTGCTTCGTTTCCGGAGCTGTGATTTGGTGTCGCTAATTCTTCCATGAGCCATTCTGTTTCATTCTCATTTACTTCTTCAGTATTTATCTGTTAAGTCCAAGGGCACACAAGTAGTGAATGGTATTATTTAAAAAAAAAAATTCATACATCTGATTTTGGAGAACTGTAGTTCAGCAAAATATGTTCAATTCTTTTACTAGAGAGAATCAGGAACAAACAATGGGAAAACCTTTGCCTGAGATCTTAAAAAGCATCTGCTGAGGTTATATGGATCCTTGAGCAAAGAACACAGTGCTTTATGGAGCACTTCAGTGGTGCTCAAAAATCTGTGAACCCCTCTGAATGTTCAATAGTTTTGGAAAAATATGACCTAAAACATGATGTATTCATCACACAAGTCCTGAAACTAGATAAAGAAAGCCCAATTAAACAAATGAGTTTTACTATACTTGTTCATGTATCCATTGAAGAGAATTATCCAAAACTACATATTTCTGTGTGGCAAAAGTATGTGAAGCTCTAGGAATATAAGTTCACTTGAAGGGGAAATTAGAGTCATGGCAATCAGATGTGAATGTGGGAAGTCTTTCCTTAAAGAAGAGAATTCTGGGTATCCACTATCTAGGTCTAATCTATACAACATAGGTACATGGAAATATGTCATGGCTTGAACAAAGGAGACTTCTGAAGTCCTCTGGAAAAAGGTTGATTTTCACCAGGCTAGAAAAGATTACAAGGCTATTTCCAAAGGGTTTGGACTCCATCAATCCAATAAGGCAGATTGTGTACAAATGGAGGCAGCTCAACTCTATACCTACCTTCCCCAGGTGTGTTTGATCCACTAAGGTCACACCAAGAGCTAGGTGTGTAATACACTGGGAGCTCTCAAAGGAAAATGTTTTAGAAACTGAGGATCTCTTTTTTATTGATAAACGTCAGCTTTCATGAAACCATCATGAGGAGAACCAACGAAGAATAATGGTGTGCAGGATTGCAAGGAGAAAGTCACTACTCTCCAAAAAGAATACTGCTGCCCATCTATACTTTGCAAAAGACCTGAAAGCATATATATATATCAGGCAAACACTGCATTCCAGCTTAAGAACCTTGTCTCATCTGTGAAACATGGTGATGGCAATATCATGATTTGGGCCTGCTTTGCTGTCTTTTGACTAGGATGCCATTATTGATGGAACTATGAATTCTGAATTATTGTATGGCCAAAATGACAGGACATGTGTCCCAGAATTGAAACTTAAGCGGAGGTGGACACAAGTCATAAAACCAAAGAATGATTAAATCAAAAGAAAGTTAATGTATTGAAATGGCCAAGTCAAAGTCCAGACCTTAATCTAATAGAAATGTTGTGGAAGAACCTGAGAGAGAGCAGTTCATGCAAACAAGCCCACCAACATCTCTGCATTGAAGCTATTCTGTATGAAGGAATGGACTAAAATTCCTCTAGGCTGATGTGTAGGACTGATCAACAGTTATCAAAAATGTTTAGTTGCAGTTATTTCTACCCAAGGAAAGCATACCAGTTACTGAAAGCAAAGGTTCACATACTTTTGCCAAACACAAATAAATAGCTTTGAATCATTTCTCTCAATAAATAAACAAATATGTTTTCGGCTTATTTATTTAATTGGGTTTTCTTTATCTGGTTTTAGGGGGGATTTGTATGGAAAAAAGATTGTGTTTTACATCAAATTTAGGCAGAAATATTGAAAATTCAAAAGGATTCCCAAAGTTTTACGCACCACATTATTTGATTAAATACTAGCAGCTTTGTTCCTACAGAAAAGAGTTTAGTTGTTTTCTACAGGCAGGATGAGAAAGCTGTTGCCTTCGCTTGCTAAGTATATCTTCTAAGAACTTGGCATGGACACTGATAGGATGGCTTATGTTTATAGTTCAGAAATACCCTAGGGGCCACCAGTTCCACGAAGTGATCTAGAGAAATAAACTGTAAGCTTCTACACCTCTTCTTGAACAAGTCTGGCTGCTTCTCCATTTGACACTTATTCCTTTGAAATGACACACAGCTATGCTTTCAATATTTACCCCCAACTGTTCAAACATGAAGCTTTGAATGAATGGAAATATTTTTATACAGTTCTTCCAAATACTGAACAATAGGAGAAAACTGAAAGCTATCAATAAATAATCCTTAGTGAATGTATGACAGATTTTTTAGTTTGTAAAATTCATCCAGTTATTTATACTTCATGCTTATGTATAATTAAGTACTGCAGCACTGATTTTAAACTGGATATAGCTCTGCACACAGTATAGTTATGACTACAATATAGAGCTATAAGCAGAATATTTGATACACTTATATAAATACAGTAAAATACCTTAGTGTATTTATAAGAAACATTTGATGATCTCCGACAGCAGTTGACTATCTTCTGCTTCATAGATTCTCTATGAAATAAAAAATTAATGTTACACACTTTATATTCTGAGGTAACTTATTTATAAGTTTCTGTATCTTCTCAATAAAACAAGCCATTATCAAATTGCAAATGAAACTGGAAAAAAGTTTGGAAAAAGAAAGAAAGAAAGAAAGAAAGAAAGAAAGAAAGAAAGAAAGAAAGAAAGAAAGAAAGAAAGAAAGAAAGAAAGAAAGAAAGAAAGAAAGAAAGAAAGAAAGAAAGCACACAAGTCAAGGAATAGCACTGCAGGCTTTGAAGAGGACCCTGATAGCAGACTAGAGGCAGGAGGCAGTTTGGTTACAGTGGATGACAAAAGTGGGAAAGAGATGCTACTAGTAGCGAAGTTTTGACTTCAATAGCAATTTCCAAAGATGTCTGTAGACATTAGCTCTTTCAAAACTACTTGTGCTTGGTTAAAAAAAAATGAGGTGTGGTCTGCTATCAGAATATTGGCCAGTATTATTTGTTGTGTGCTGCTACTAGAGCTATGTTGGCACAGTAGTTATTGCAGGCTAATTCTGCTGAATGCTGATTGCCAGTAGTTCAGCAGTTTGAACCTCACCTGCCCAAGGTTGACTCAGCCTTCCATCCTTCTGAGGTCAGTAAAATGAGGACCCAGATTGCTGGGGGCAATAGGCTGGCATTTGTAAAGCGCTTAGAGGGGGCTTTAAAGCACTGTGAAGCAGTATATAAGTCTAAGTGCTATTGGTATTGCTACTATCCTATAAGAATAGTAATATGTTTAATGAAGAAACAGCTCTAGCACAGTTTTATGGGTGTTGGACATGTTGTTTTCAATGATCCTCCAAGCTTTCTGGATTATATTGGGGAGGCATTGCAAAAGCAAACATCTGAGCATTCTTTTCGGTCCTACCTTCTTTCTTTTTTGTAAAGTAACAGGATCACAAGACATGCTGTGAGAATCACAAGGAGTAAACTCAACAATGCTCCAACTGCTTGGCTTCTTCCTGAAAGGCCTTTAGGAAAATCTTCCACATAGTTTCCATCATTTGTTGTTTCAGAGCTTCTGCAAATGATTAAAGAAATGGGAGTTAGAATTCAGAAAGTGTCATCTGCTCTGCAAAAGGAGCCCTCCACATATTACTTATTCTCTCTGTTCTGTTGCAGGCTAGAATGGGTTTCTTTGATCCTTGGAAAGGTTTGGTTCAGAGGAGACAAGTTAGCCTCACTCTGAGTACAGATTTCTATTGCATTTCCTGGACTCAGTTCATAAATGACACTTGCAGATTTTTAACTAATTAAATTCAATGATATCAAAAAACTTTGCTAAATTACCCTATTCTGAAACAAGCGGTGAAGGTTGTATTTGGAAATGATTAACAACCATGTTCAAATACATTCCTGGAAATGGAATGAGCTGTAATTATAAGTCATTTTAAAAATTAATTATTTTAATCCTCCCATTTCAGAGCAGATTAATCAACTTCCAACCAAACAAGCAAAATTTCCCAGCATTGGTTTTTTCCCCAATATAGCTATAGTCAGTTATCTATTCAATTCTCCAAGTCCAAAAGGGTGCTAAGGTTATTGCTATATACACAACTCTGAATGACAACTATTTGAATTCATGTTTCGTATGTTATATTCCACTTTATTCTTCATGATGGTCACATTTGGGTCAAACAACTGGAAAAGGCAATATTCATTAAATCAGGGGCGCCAAACTTGTCACATGACATGTCGTGACATATCGTGACTTTTTCCCCATTGCTGGAGCTGGGATGGGTGCAGTTTTGGCATGACGCATCCAGCCGGCGGGCTGGCAGTTTGACACCCCTGCATTAAATCAATCCTTCAGGTTTAGTAACAAAAAATAGAATTGTTGAAATCATCAATCGATTGGGTGAGGATGAAAAAAATAAAATTCAATTCAGGTAATATTGTAGTTTGGGGATGGGGATTCAATCTGTTTTCATGGGGTTGCATTTCTCTCAATAGATTTGTAGCTGAATGTAATCTCTGATCTAGACTAAATCTGTCCAGAAGAAGCTGTAACTTGAAGTAAACATCTGGACAAATTTAATCTAATAAAAATGATCGATGTTCTGCTCAGATCCCAATAATATTTTTGTACTTTTTTGCACTTTAAAACTACATATATCTATATCTACACATACATATATCTATATCTATACATACATATATCTATACATACATATATCTATATATCTATATCTCTATATCTATCTATCTATCTATCTATCTATCTATCTATCTATCTATCTATCTATCGAGAGAGAGAGAGAGAGATTTTCTGTAGGGGTAAGAATTAAGAATTAAGAATTATTCTCATGAAATTTACTTACACCAACTGGCAAACTGCGGAGGTGTACCAGGTAAATAGGTACTGGCAATCCATTGATTCATGAAGAAATGTTGGGATGCCTTCTTCAGCATCTTTATCACAGTGGAAGACAATAGTTGAGGAGGCAGATTTGTTGGTATCTCTGCCACATGTGGAGTCAGAGAAGAACACGAGATCCAAAACATCATCTGCAAAGGAAGAAAACATTTAAAATATTCACAATCAATTGTTGGTTGTTACATTTTGTGGACATCTCAGGAGGCACATTCCTAGTTTCTTGGGCTGTTAAGATGACAGAGAAGAAATGTACTTTCAGTCTTATAGGTTACTACAAGATACTATAACTGGTCTACTCCCCATTGTGTGCCTGCTTATTCTCTTGTAAATCCTTCCTCTCCAATCTCTTTCTCTGCCAGAGAGGGATGAGGGAGAAAAAAATCGGACAAAACACAGGAGAGATTGCCTATTAAAAATCACTTTTTTTTCACAGAGCAGAGAGATCGCTTAAACAAGCAACTGGGGTGGGGGGAGGGGAGGAAACCCAATCAATTTCTGTAGGCAACCTCTCCTGTGCTTGACTATTATTTTTCGTCAACTCCCCCCTTGCATTTCTTTCTATGTACATTCCCTATTATGTGCCTTACTGGCTTCTTCTCCAAGTCCTCTGCTCCGCAAGCAGGAGGGGAGAAAGATCAAGCACAGAACAAGGAATACTAACTGTAAAGGCAATCACATGAAGGTCGTAAAGGTGGGCATTAGTCATAAAATTATTTTTTTCAGCGCCATCTTAACTGAACGGTCACAGCAGTTGCTAAGTGAGGACTACTTGTTTCTTATTTATACAGAAAAGTTACTACAGTTACTAAATTCTTACTTAGTAAATGTTATTACTTTAGTTTCCTTCTTGCCTCTCACAGAGGTGAGCTGGCAAATTTGCACGTTAAGTTTCCATTTGTGTAATGACTGGGAAGGAAAAGAGGTGAGAACACAAAGGTTGATTTTTTTTTGTTTTCCTACCTTTGCTCTCTAGCTATCTAGTTTAGGAAAACAAAAAAAATGGGATTTCTATGTATAAAAAATCATTTTCTTTTTCAACCATTCTCCTCTCAGAAACCAAGAGAAAATGCAGTGAAAAAAAATATACTGTATATCCAACAACTTACCCTTCACCCTGCTCTTTCTGTTATTGAATATTGTCTTTTCAGTTGTTCTTTAACTTGGAAAGGCAATAGAGAGGTGATAGAGGAGCACTAAGGGGGAAACGTAACACACACACTCTCTCCCCCTCATACAAAAGTTACTGGGTAGATTTATGCCCAAATAATTCTAGCCATAAAACAGCTTCTGTGGACTAGTTTTTTCCTCAATTATATGGAATGAAATGTGATTGTTTCCTTTGGGATACACAAAGAAATATGTCCTTCTGAATAGAATTGTTGGGAGGGGGAGAGGAGAATGGAAAAAAAAACATCTCCCAAAATCAGACTTTATCCATAACAACTTGGCTTTTTAAGAAAGCCCTAAAGGATGGGAGCAGCTGCCTTGGATTGTGTTTGAATGACTAGGTATAGCCTTCTGTGTTATAACTGAAGGGCGGCAAAAAGGATAAGAAGGAAATACACTGGGAAGATTGAGGATGGGCATGTGGGTAAGATATCTGATTATGGGACATGGTTACATTCTGGGACTGATACATCAGCAGAAATTACTTTTTAAATTTAGTATTTATTGTATTATGTATTGTTTTAAATGGCTGTAAGCCACCCTGAGTCCGTTGGGAGAAGGGCGGGGTAGAAATTAAATAAAAGTAAAAAAGTAAAGTAAAGTAAAGTAAAGAAATGGGGGCAGGTAGTGATGGTGGTGGATAGACACAACAGAGCAGACTTGCCCTTCTTGCTCAGTAAAATCACTTTGGAATCTCTCTGAATTTCAATAGAAGATTTAGAAGAAACTAGGAATAAACAAAACATTCTAGATTTCACTTTTAGTGAACACTGGAATAGTTCAACACAGCTTCCAATGCAATTTGTTTAGTTTGGATTTCTATTTTGTGCATAACTCAGGTTGTCATCATCATTAGCAAGTAATTACTTACCTTGAATATAATAATGGGCATTTTTTGATGATCCAACTCTACGAGTACGTGTATCTGATATTTTAACTTGACAGATGTTAGCGCCCATGCATTGTGGATTCTTTGAATCAGTGATAGCAGAAAGCTGAATCTCATAAATGTATCTGTCACCATTTGTTCTTAAATCTCCTGCTGCATTGTATAATCTGGAACAAAAGAATTTAAAATAAAAATACATAATGTACACACATATATAAAGTAAGGATACAGAAATAACCAGAGGTAAGACAAGAAAACTTTGGAAGCACCTCTTTTCACCTAGCCAATTACTACTATTCTCTATTCAAAGGAATCTATTTTAATTCACCTAAAATTTCAAGTTTAGTTCCATCTAGCGGGGGACTATTCTCACCCATTTCCAAGTAATCTACAATTCCTCAATTTTTGTTTTATCTAAATGCTATACAGGTAGTCCCCAACTTACAACCATTCCTTTTGTGACCACTCAAAGTTACAACGACACTGAAAAAAGTGACTTATGACTGTTTTTCGCACATACAGGTACAACCATTGCAACATGGCTAAGGTCATGCTATCAAAATTTGGATGCCTGGCAACTCTTATGACAGTTGAACATCCCAGGGTCACGTGATCACCTTTTGTGATCTTCTAACAAGAAAAGTCAATGGGGAAGGCAGATTAACCTGAAAGCAGTGCTATTAACTTAACAGCTGCAGTGGTTCATTTAACAACTGTGGCAAAAAGGTTGTAAAATGGCATACAACCCACTTAACCACAGTCTTGCATTGCAATGGAAATTTTGGGCTCAATTGTGGTCGTAAGTTGAGGATTACCTGTACCCATCTTCACTATTATTTATGAAAACCATTCACATACAAGGTATAATGCACAAGAATACACGGCTGGGTTGGAGAAAATATTTTGTCTGAATATCCTTCATTCTAGAACTAGTTTTTACTTTTAATGATAGGGATAGATATACTTTTAAATGATAGGGATAAATTTTAAATTATATATTTATCAAAGTTTTATAATATATCTACAATAAATACTTTCCTAAAGATTGAAAAATCTACCACATATCTCTTGCATCAATCTACCACATATACACAAATCTGCTACTGTGTCTGCCGGAGCAGAATTTACTTCCATTCCAGCAAATTAAGATGAATCTGTCTCCGTGATAAAATGGAATTTGTTTTTCAATATACACACATATCTAACTATGTAACAGTAGAATTATCTATTTAGCTTACATAAATAAGCCATAAACATGCAAAGTTAGTTAATTGCTTTAAAAATGTATTAACCAAACTTTAATTCTTAAACGACTCTTATAAAGTTGTCAGCACCTCTACCCAGACTTAAAAGTTATTGCATCAATTAAAAAAAAAATCCAGACTGATGGTTGTGACCTGAAACTTCACATTGCTAGAAGTGGTAGATAGACATTTTGCTCAGTTTCAGATCATCTACCAGTATTTCACTAAGCAACTGGCAACTAGAAGGCTGATTATTAAGAGTCTTCTCCTGGTCTCTTATAAGTATTAAAAAAATTAACTTACTTGTAATAAATATTACCCAAACTGAAATTCTTCCCTGTCTCTGGATTTATAACTGTGCCATTCTCTATCTTTACTTCTTGAGGTTTCACAGCACAAGCAGCCCGAGTTTCCCAGGTAATATAATAGGCACAGTTTTCTTCATCGATCCTAAAAGGAAGCATTTGGAAAATTAACTTACCAACAGAGGCAGAAATGGCATGAAAATAAAGACTAAGAGATAGAGAAATGAAAGTAACTATATATATTTTACGATCATGTGGATGTGATGGTTGGATTTACACATTTCACTGAACTTAAATCAAGCACACGTTATCCCAAGTTCCATTCTGATCATTCTAGTTTTTAATTTAATGTTTTTTTGTGAACCTAGCCAATTTTGTTTATTCAATTCTTTTTCTGCTGTGTAAATCAGAATGCGATTATGTAAGGAGTTTCAGTTTCAAAGAATTACGTCAACACTTCTCAATATCCATAAGAGGCAAAGGTTTATAAATCACCCATTTAGAACAGACAGTTTTATTTAGTAATCCAATGTAAACCTTTAGAAAATTTGACCTTAAAATAGGCATGCTGTCAAGAAAAAAAAAGGGGGGGGGGAACCTTCTCTCTTATTTTTTCCATACTGGCTCATAACTATCTAAGCAGAATGGTTTAGAGTGCAAAAACACAGAATTATACTACTGTATAAGGAGGATATATATGTGTGTTTGTGCACATGTACAAGTTACATCAATCAGTTCAAGGTCTGCAGCTGTCTTTCAGCAGATACAGAGATTCATACTCTAAAAATGGAAGAATTAGAACCAAAACTAGACTGGAACATAGACTCCATTTTCATTGGTATCTTTAGCATAAAAATTATTTTATTTCTACTGTTTAATTTGGTGATTAGTGTAGGTCATGCTTTCACGCCACATAGTGATCTTTCTCAACATTCACTCATTCATTCATTTTATTGACTTCATTTGTATGGCCACACTGTGGTTGATTAGGAATTACTGAACTGTTCAGAACACACTAAATCAAAGAAAGCTATCCTAAAGCCTGAATGATGCCATGTGCATAATACATACCTTGATAAAAGCTGAGGTGCCCTTTGTTATGCTATAAAAACCAAATCATCCATGTACTTACCTGTTGAATCTTGGCAACCCGACAGTTTTTCCACATTTCAACTCTATGACTGTTGTTGCCTTTTTGTTCCTCTGACATTCATGACCATTGGAGTAGCTGACAAGAACTTTGTCGCCTGAAATAAAACACCAGGTTTTATTAAAAGCAAAATGAGATTCTGAATCTAAAGCAATGCTGTGAAGCCCCAAATGAATTTAACTGGGTGCTATTTTAATTAAATTTTAGTTAAAATTCTTTTTTAATTAATTAAATGTCTTTCTTTATGACTTGGCATTAGTAATATTTCCTCCATCAAAAATGATTGGTTATATCTTCAAAGGCTAATATTTTATAACCGGGACATATTAGTATATGTCCATATTTTCATAGATTGATATCAATACTTTTGCAAAATTAAAAATATTTTATTCCAACAACTGTTTGAATTATAAAGAACAGCTGACCCATATAAGCACTGAGCATCAGGAAATTTCTTTCTATTTCCACATCTACAGTTTCTTTCTAGTAGAACATCACTTTATTTAAGTGGAATTATATGGATGTAATGGATAACAGGTATAAGCATTAGGGTTTTTTCATGCATCCATATGCAAATGAGATCATGTAACCCTAATGAAATTAGAAAATAAAACTAAAACTAAGGATAACTCAGAGTGGAACCCACTGTTGCAGATCAACACATATCTTGCAGCTGCCACTCATCATCTACAAACATCTACAGCAGGGGTCTTCAAACTTGGCCCTTTTATGACTTGTGCACTTCAACTCCCAGAATTCTTCAGCCAGCATGACTGGCTGAGGAATTCTGGGAATTGAAGTCCACAAGTCATAAAAAGGCCAAGTTTGAAGACCCCTGATCCACAGAGTATCTGCTTAAATTCCTTTCCCTGCAAAGGATATGGACACAGAATAGAAAATAGACTTTCTCTATGGTTTTTTCCACTCGGTGAAATAGTCTGTCCCCAAAAATGCACTCAGCTCCTTCATTCTGGCATCCTGGATGGCAGTAAAAATCTTATTTTTTTTACTGAACATTTGGTTCCTATCAAATAAACAATGGGACATGCTGACTTGCAAAACTAACAATTCTGCTTTTAGTTATATATTAAGTATTTTTTAATAATGTAGGACCAACTTAATTGTTTTATCATGATTTTACTATATATCCCTGGATCTGTTTGCACAGGTAATACAAAAGGGTGCTAGGCAAATAATAAATAAATATGTTAACAAATCAAGGCTAGTATAGCAACTCTCACTTTCCCCTGCATAAAATAGCAGGGGACATGACACAGACAGACATACCTGTAACATTAAGTTTTTGCGTATGAACCAATCCCAGAACTTGGACAGCACCATTCTGATTTCGTCGGCAAACACTTGCCCTGTCAGGGCAGCCCGAGGGTCCTTCGTGGACTTTCTGACAAAGGTTCATGTAGTAACTAAATCCAAGAAGGAAAAGAGAGTAATTTCATCAGTTTAATAATTATTTAAAGCATCAATACTCTACCTTTCAGTCAAACAGGTTTTTTTTTTAAAAAAAAAACTATCAGTAGAGGACTTCAAGAAGAACCATCTTACATTCTTTTTAATTTCCAAGAACATGAAGTGGTATGTTATCTATCTAAGACAACCAATTTATGTAAGGTAACTTGACTGAAAGAATTTTCCAAAAGTTCTTCTATAATCTTCAAAGATCTTTTTAGAATTTTGGCAATTTCTTAGGTGATAGTCAATCTAAACGCAATATTCCAATGATTGTAGGTTATTCAACGGAGCAAAGCTGAGTGATCAAATATTTCTAGTAAAGATGTACCCCCTTTTATTTAGTAAGCACCCCTCATTTCCCTTTGATGTACATTTTCCTTCAATCAGTTCCCTGACAGAAAGCCCAGGACTACAAAACTTGATTTAAGCACTGCCTAGTCTTAGTCACTTTCCTGTGAATTAGTCAATCTTGCCTGAATTGCAAGATACACACTTGGAAGAATGATTAGCTATACTAGCAATGAATAACAAGCTGGTAAGTTCATTTTCATTCAGAGTTCCAAAGCACACTCACGAGCTGCCCTTGTCTGCAAAGACCCATGAGCCAGTGAGGGAGGAAAGTATTCTCAAATCATAAGTTTTGTGCTTCTGAATAAACTTGCATTCCATTTTCCTTGGAGGACATAGAAGTTGTGTCCTCCATTCAAATGTGACAGCGCAGCCAAGGGTCTCACTCAACAGCTGAGGACTTCCGTTATTAGCATTTTCATCACATTTAAAAATAATAGTAGATTCACGCTGCCCAGCTTCTGCAAGATATAAACAAAAGCTTATAAGCAGACTGTAAATCCATGGATTAAATTCTATAGGAAAGTTGTTAATAAATAAACTTAGCAGTATCTGTCTTTGCCTTCTAATGTTCATATGGTCCAGGTTGGGTACAGTGGTTCAGTAGTGTTATATTTGGGCAAAACTATATAAGTCTAGGCATATCAGCTATCTGAGTTAGTGATCAGAGCTGGAATTATTATGCTCCAATTCAAAGAAAATAAGGTCATCTATTACAATATCAAAAGGGACACAGTGAATTTGGGAAGCAGGGAAGTTTCAGAATGCAAAGCGATTTTATATATTTCCTACAAAGTTCTCATTTTAAAATGTATCTAAAATAAGCTAAGTCTTATAGCTTTCCAAGTATTCAAACATGCTTGGAATCCCCAATCTTAAAAATTGGTCACATTTCCTTCTTCAAGAAACCACAAAGGACTCTGAGAGGGGGTTAATTAACCTGCATGAGGTTTCTATTTTTCCTGGCCCTAGCCAGGAAACCCAATCATGGTCAAGGACTTACAACCGGTCACTTTACAACTGTTCGAAGTTACAACAGACTCCAAGAAAGGTACTTATGACTCTGATGATTCAAAGGTTCTGGCAGATCATGTGATGGACCACTTAACAACCAGCACAACACAGACCATAATTCTGGGCTCAACTGCAGTCGTAAATCAAGGTAATTCATCAACAGGCTGGGTTAATGGCCAGTTCTACCTGAATGACGCTCCCAAATGTGGATAAACATGTGCTATCCAAATACAAACATTGTGATATTTACTGTCTGGATTTACTCTAATTTATAGCACAAGATTGATTTTAGTTCTATTATATAATAACACCTTATGTGCAGCAATACAAATGGCAGGTGGTCCTCAACTTACAACCATTTGCTTACAACCACTTAGCGACAACGGCACTTCATCGGCATTGAAAAAAGTGGGTTATGACCATTTTTCACACTTATGACCATTGCAGCATCCCCATGGCTACATGATCAAAATTTGGACCTTTGGCAACTGGCTCCTATTTATGCCGGTTGTAGTGTACTTGGGGGGGTGGTGTCACATGATCGATCACCTTTTGCAACCTTCTGACAAGCAAAGTCAATGGGGAAGCCAGATTCACTTTACAACTGTTTTACTAATTTAACAACTACAGCATATAGCAAATGTGGCGAGAAAGGTTATAAAATGGGGCAAAACTCACTCAAAAACTGTCTCACTTAGCAACAGAAATGTTGGGCTCAGTTGTGATCGTAAGTTGAGAACTACCCGTATCCTGACTGGATTTTCTTTTCAGCAGCTGTTATTTTATCTCAAGCCACCAGGTATCACTAGTACAGCTATCTTAATGCTTCATGGTGTGCAGCAGAGTTTGATTTCCTTGCTTACCATTTACACAGAATCCCCATTTTTGATCTCTTCCTAAGTTATCAGTTGTGGCACACCATGGACGGCCTTGCTCCTCCGTAATGCACTTGTCATAACTTTTACCATTGTACTGGAAAGGGAAGACACAAAGCTCACCCTTTTCAGTTACTGTTAAGTAAAAGAAGAGCACAATAAAATATTTAATGAAATATAAACAGTGAAATATAAATACTTCTTGACCCAAAACTTAGCACAGAAGTGGGTTGTCAGTGGCACCCAGAATTAAGAAAGGCCAAGTTCCAAATAACAATTTATGTAACTGCTGTTAGCCATCATTTTTCTATATAAAGTTTATTTTACAATGAACTGAGATGGCCCCCAAAGATCATCACTCTCTGCCACTTTCAGCTGGAATGCTTCTGCATGTCAGCTCTCTTGCAAAACAACCTCATACAAAGAGGAACAAGATGCAAGCCCAAAAAACAGCATTTTACAAGATAAAACGTCAAGATGCATGTATTTATACATTCATGAAAGCACTTGTATTATGCATCACTTTCTCCTTTTCACCTCTTATAATTAGAAAGTCCAGAACGGTACATAAGTTAATGCAGGGGTCCCCAACCCGGGGTCCGTGGACAGGTACCAGGCCATGGCATGCCAGCAACCGGTCTGCACAAACAAGCAACGCCCATACGTGGGATGCAGGCAGCACACAAAACCATGCCCTCTGGTCCATGGAAAAACCTCTCTCTACGGAACCGGTCTCTGGTGCCCAAAAGGTTGGGGACCTCTGAGTTAATGTATATGATCACTCAACAAAGTTCAATCTCAAAATCACTCAATGAAAATTATATGGATGAATTTAGCCTGAGTAGCTTTGAATGTTACCTTCCTTAAATGAGATAAGTAAGTTAAAGAAATGGGGTTACTTATCTTAAACTTAAAAGCTGATGAATTAAGATTCTAAGCAAGCAATGGTGTAATTTTCAAAGTAATGGGCAAATTCCTTGCAAATCTCATACCTGGAGGACATTTATCACCACCCTTATACTGCAAGAAAACAGCTTCATCTTGATGCCTGTAGTCCAATTGTACTTCTTTTTTGTTGCCAAATGAGACAGCACTACTGCCAGAGATAAGACAAACTGCAGCATCTTTGCATTTCCCTTGAGGTATATCTGCCGCTTCTGAACATACCCCTAGATGGTAGCTCCTGCGTCCAGAAGGAACCTATTTGGACAGCCAAAACTATACCATTAAAGATCTGCAAATGGAATCGGAGAAAATGCTAAATATTTTTTAAAAGCTCAATATGGCCATGCCAAGGGTTTGACCAGATTATGCAAGACAAGATGGAAAGAGTCTCAGAATGGCTCTTCCAGAAGATGTTCACTTTAAGCAGCAGGTTCAGAGGGGTGCTTTGCTCACTTTCCAAAAGACCCCTATGAATATGATGCTCGTAACATTTCCAACAGTTACCAGAATTTCATCTCATACACTCATAGGTGGAGACAGTTCTAGGAATGCCTTTGATGGTATTTTTTCATCTATTGGTGATCAATGCATCTATATTATTTGCATAATTTTTTAGGCCCATGTCTTAACAGAAAAAGAAATCTTTGTACAATGAGCACGTTTTATTATTTTATTATGTGTACATCCTATTTTCCTAGAGAAACTCAAATTGGTGTCCACGGGGATTCTTGACATATTTTGGCCTGAACAATAATGACTAACTCAAAATGAACTCCACGCGGCTGTTGGATTCCACTGCCAACACCTTAACCACCACTCTCAACTGCATATATTTTGGAGAGGAAATATGAGAAATGCAGCTCAGTCCCTCGAGAAGATGTTTTCATTGACAATATCATTTGATAGACATAACATTTGCCCCTGTGCTGCCATCTGATTCCCTTTTTACCTTATTCCAGAATATGTGATTTGTGAGGGTACTAAAAGCATATATTTTATCGCTAAGCTATGATCATGTGGCTCTGCAACAGACCAATTCCACTTTTTTCATGTCAGAACAGCATCAGCGCTTCCCCTTTCTAGCCACAGCAATACAATCACCTTATAGGGCTTCCCTGCAAGGCTTGACAGGTTGAAAGCATAGTGTAACTGTTCATCAATTACAGAGCAGCCCGAAACATTCTCTTCATCAGGGCATACCACTGGGGTACTCCATTCAAATATATATTCACAGCTGGACTTTTCTATCATTCTGGGCTTCCCCTGTTACCAACAAACAAACAAACAAGGGAATAAAATAGTTGAGAATCAGATGTCTCAGTAAGAAAGCTAAATGACTGAAAATTAAACACACACTGAAGTTAAATAAACCCATCTGTTTTTATTTATAACATTTTGGTTTTGCCTGCTGTGACTGAGGCTGATGACACTGGAAATAATCAAGCTTCAAAAATGTCTACAACAGCAAAAGAATAAGTTCATGTCCCAACTTCTGCGGCTTCATGCTGACTTTCTGCAGAGAACTGAAGTATGTGTTTGCAGATCACATGCTTATATACAAACCTAAGACAATTTAAAAAAATAATTTGCTTGTATCAGAGAAGGGTTTGATATCAGGTTATGTACACAACCTGAATATTCCCTTTCAGCCTTCAAAATTCATTCTCTCTCCACTTCTCCTCATTTAGTTAAAAAGTGGAATGAACAAGTGCTTTGATAATTGGCAAAAGCAGAAAATTAAATACATTTCCCCCTCCTCATGGATTCTGTTGGCAAAATATTTCTATTTTACTAACCAGAAAGTTGAACTTTTTTGATGGGTGAAATTATTTAATTTGTAGTTAAGGAACCTTCCATATTTACTAGCACATTTAATATCCCTCTAATGTCATGCCTCTCTAACCACGCTACAAGGACATATCTGCATAATGTGTCTCCAAATCAAAGATGAGGTCAGCTAACTTTGGAATGTATTGATCCAACATGGAAATAGTTGTTTTCAATATTCTCCCAACACAAGCTATGCTATCCATTCAATCTGAGTCCTTCAGTGGTAAATAATGATGCAGGAGGAGAAGGGTCTGTCCAGCACCTATTGTTTGGTTTTGTCTGGTGTGGTCACCTATGGGTGGGTAGTGGTTGTTCTCAGAGTCTTCTTGTAGCAAGGGGGAATTTGAGAGGGAAAGATATGTACTAACCTCTCCAAGTAGATACAAGTGATTTGTTGATTGAATAGGAGCTTCCAATTAAGAGAGACTCCCCCCTCCATCTTTACCCCCATCTTAACCTTCCCTTATCTATGTGCGTAATCTACCCCATAGATCTGGTACCATAAGTGAGGCACAAGAAAGGTATGGACTTCCTGGTAAAGCAGGAGAAGAAAGCCCCCCCCCCATCTACTCCATAGATCAGTTTCCATAAACCTACTTTTCTAGTCATCTGTCAAAACACTCCGCCTTTTAGAGTCCTACTCTTACTCCACCAGGAAAGCAATTGAAAAACGTCTACTCTGCCACTAGGAAACCCACCTTATTAACTTTCCTGGCAGCAGACAGCACCATTCACCAGTCTCATTAATGAAGCAGAGTAGGAATTGGCTATGCAAACAGAGCAAATCTTTTGTCTCATGTTTTCTGCCAACTCACAAACTGGACAAGGTTAAATCAGCTGTTTGGATGTGCCCTATGCCTGAAAGGGATTTTTTTTTCAACCTTTTCTTAATTTGTAAACACTTGTAAGTTTTTGTCAACAAACAAAATAAACGTATGATTACCAGATTTGTTCCTCTGTTGCAGTGAAACACAATAAGTGAAGAATAGTTGAGATGTTTATCTTCTGGACAAGGAGTGGTACTGTTGAAGGCAATGTTAACTTCATTTGTTGCACTGTTGAGCTGAGGAGGTGCTGTGATTCGACCAATATCCTAATTAAATATAATATAAATTAACCTGATTGACCCCCAAAATGAAAATGAAGCTTCAGCATCAACTAGGAAATAAATTACTTCAATCTATATACAAGTTATAATAATATAAGTTACAGTAGGGGACAGAATGAATGAATTAGGAGTCCATCCATTTTTATTGCGAACGTATTTCTCATATGATGAGAGAGATGATTCCAATTACATTTTGTTCTGATGTACTCAAAATATTTACATTAGTACTGCGAAAAACATAACCAAGATCGATGTGCTCCACTATCTGAAATTGCTATCCATTTAGCATAAAATGGCCCAAAGAATCAGAAACTATACATTTCAAGTAGACTGACCTGGTTTGAGTTGTTCTGCTTTCAAAATCGTATTAGTTTTAAGTAAGTCAGCAGCTTAAAGCAGTCAAAATGTTTCTTCCTGTCTGTATGGAAGACTGAAAGAAGTTGGACTGCTTTAATGAATAATAAGCATAATCTTTACTTGCCCCGAGGTTGTAGAACTTCTCCATTTTTAGAGATTTTCCATGATATGTGAACACATATTGTTGAAAACAATTGAAATGTTTCCTGAAATCTGGCGCATGACTTTATGACAGTGGCTGTGTCCCAAAGTGAAGCAGGAACAGACAATTTTTTTACCTCCTCCTTTCAATATTTTATACTATGTCAAATGCTGAAATTGCTTTTCCAAACAATTGTTTGGAGAACGTGAAGTCTCCAAAGAACTGGGCTCTTAAATAATACATTACTGTACTAAATCAGCTTATTAGGCATATCAGGTATTCATTCTAATATCCTGTTGTGAAAAAGAGGACAATTCGATACATGCTGGTAATATTACTTACTATAGGAGAGCCATTAAGTGGGATCATGCAGACAGCTACTCCAGGCGGACACTTGATGATGGAATTTAATGGTTGGCAAATATTTATATAGAAATCTGGATTCTGGTCAGAAAAGTCATGAAATATCTCATAAGCACTTGTCCAATGGATTAAAGGGGAAAGGTCAATTGTTCTGCTGCCATTGGTAACTGAGCAGTCTGCCTGTGGATCGGGGAGAGAAAATTCACATATCAGTAGAAAGAACCCCATTATGAGCTATGTGATAGACACGTATTAAAAAAAAGGACATACATATTTCATTTATAAAAATTGGGGGAAGAATTTATTACAGTAGGAACTTTAAAAAAAAGAAAGCGTTGTCTTGTATTATTACTGTTATTATCAAGGAACTATGAAGGAGAAAACATCACCAACACTGACAGGGCAGGCTACTACCATGTTTCCCTGAAAATAAGACCTGATCTTATATTTTTTTTGCCTCCAAAGGAGACATTAGGTCTTATTTTCGGGGGATGTCTTATTTTTTATCCTGTCTCGCCTCGGGGTGGCGGCACCGACAGCCCCGTCCAGCAGGAGCCCATGTGGCCGCTGCTGGCCCACTTCTTCAGGAAAGTCCTCTGCTAGTGAAAAGGAGGCCAGGAAGCAATACGTCCTGAGGTAAGTGGGTACGGGGTGTGTGGGGCAGCTCCACCCCCCCCACCCTAGCTTGATTTTTTACGCATGTGCCTCGCCCCACCTCGTGCAACCAGATAGTGAGATGGAGTGGGTGGGGTCTTAACTAGGGCTTATTTTGGGGGTTAGGGTTAGGGCTAGGCACACACATAAAAATCAAGGTAGGGCTTATTTTCGGGATAGGTCTTATTTTCAGGGAAACATGGTATATATAAACAGACAACAAACCCAGTTCCTTTCCAGCACTGAAGATGTTGCCTAGCCAAGTAAGGAAATATCTGCACAGAAACAACAGAGAGCCAATTTGTAAGTGTTAACTGCTAAGAAAATTAGAAATCATTAATTTGCAATCTTTTTAAAAAACTTTTTTTTACTTTCTTATACTTTTAGCTTTCCATTTTATTTATTTTTTCTTATTACTGTATTCGCTTTTCTCTTTTTGAAAACTTTTAATAAAATTATTAAAAGAGAAAAAATATCCAGAATGTTTTGGTGGTTTAAGGTTTATAGATGAATCTGCATTGGGTGAATAAGGGAAAAATGGATGTATGTCACCAGCTTTCAGCATGGCATAGCAATAGCACTTAGACTTACATACTGCTGCATAGTGCTTTACACCACTCTCTGAACGGTTTAAAATGTCAGCATATTGCCCCCAACAATCTGGATCCTCATTTTACCAACCTCAGAATGATGAAAGGCTGAGGCAACCTTGAGCCTGTCAGGACTGAGCTCCTGGCTGTGGGGCAGTTAGCTTGCAATACTGCATTCTAACTACTGAGCAACCACGGCATAACCCACTATTCCCCTCATTTCCTCCCATTCCCTAATTTCAACCATTTATGTTCCAGCACAGCATATAAAACCAGCTCACCTGCCTTTCATCTCCTTCCTTCCTCTCCCGTCACCTGTTGCTGATATCCCAGTATATCTCATACCTCCAGACTCCCCATTCTTCCCCAAAACCTTTCCTTCCTTCCTTCCTTCCTTCCTTCCTTCAAGTTGTCCTTGATTTTTTTTTCCTTACTTCCACCTGCCCTGGATAAAGTAGCCTGACTGTAGAACCAAACTATACCCATATGTGAATATTTTGGTTTGGACATGGACTACACCAAACCAGCTGTTCTATGCCTGGAATTTTCTGCACATACTAGTTACAACACAGAGACTAAATACAGACATGATGCTATTCAGGGACTTAGTTGAGATTCTATGCTCTCTTCTTCAGCCTCATCTCATTAATCTCATAAATGAATTTGTTCTATCTCCTCCTCCTCCAATTACTCTGGCTAAGATGAAATTTAACTGTTTTTCAAAATCCCAATGGCAGTTGTTGCATTGTTAATCATTGGAGTAAAACAGAATAGAGCTAGAAGGGACCTTGGAGGTCTTCTAGTCCAGCCCCCTGCTCAAGCAGGAGAACCTATACTATCTCAGACAAGTGACTGTCTAGCCTCTTCTTAAAAGTCTCCAGTGATGGAACACCCACAATGTCTGACAGCAAGCTGTTCCACTGGTTAATTGTCCTCACTGTCAGGAAGTTTCTCCTTAATTCCAGGTTGCTTCTCTCTTTGATCAGTTTCCAACCATTGTTTCTTGTCTTGCCCTCTGGTACTTTGGAAAATAAACTGACCTCCTCCTCTTTGTGGCAGCCCCTCAAATACTGGAACACTGCTATCATGTTGCCCCTATTTCTTCTTTTCTTTAGACTAGCCAAACCCAAATCCTGCAGCCGTTCTTCGCATGTTTTAGCCTTTGATCATCTTAGTTGCTCTTCTCTGAATTTTTTCCAAAGCTGTGATATGGTGACCAAAATTGGCTGCGGTATTCCAGATGTCTTACTAGGGTTTTATAAAGCGGTACTAATACTTTGTGTGGTCTTGATTCTATGCCTCTGTTTATACAACCCAGGATTGTATTAGCTTTTTTGGCTGCTGCTGCACACTGCTGGCTCATAATCAAGTGATCGTGCACTAGGACTCCAAGGTCCCTCTCACAATTTCTGTTTTTGAGCCAGGTCTCGCCTAATCTGTACTTGTACCTTTGATTTTTCCTGCCTAAATGTAAAACTTTGCTTTTCTCCACATTTTGTTGGATAGGGCTCATTGTTCAAGTTTGTCAAGATCTTTTTGGATCCTGAGCTTGTCTTCTGGGATGTTTTGTACTAAGAGTTGAATGTCTTTTTGACAGAAATTTCAAGTGATCTCATAAATACTATATTACCTCTTTTATGCTTAATAAGAATAGCTTATTTTACTTCAACAACTGCTCTGCAAAATAGCACAAATGAGTGTAATAAATCTGTAAATGTATTATGTTGCAACTTTTTTTCCAAACTAGAAGATTTAATATATATATTTTTTTAATCTTAAATAACCAGGTCATTTTAGATAAAATTAACTTGATAAAATAAGACAATTTGCTTACCACTCTTTCTTCTTCACAGGCTAAAACAGTATGCCAAGAGAAAAAATAAGTGCATGTCTTCTCATCAAAAGAAAGGAGAACCGGCTGGCTGCCAGGCCCAGCATCCAATCTGCACACAAAGGTGAAATAGCTCATATACTTCAAATCAGGATCTGCAGGACAGGATTCGCCTTCTTTGTAGACAAGTTTCAAAAATCCATCTTCATAGGTTAATGCTTTGCTTAGTCGTCCAGCATTAACTGATCGCTGATGGCCACCCGTGACACAAACTCCTATTAACAGATTTAACAGAACAATGCTAGTCTGTTTTTTGTCCCGTTTCCTTGTTCTTGGACAGAAGAAATGTTAGGTTCAACACAATTAGTAGGGAATATGCTACTCTTATTAATAAATCCAGAACAAGGTATGCTTTCAACATTTTGGTTAAAAAGAGAATTATCTGTTCTTTAGTGCTGGGATCAAGCTGCTCAATGATTCATTGAGTAGTCCTAATATAGTTTTGTTCTTTCAAATTTACTTCCTCAGTATAAAGTGGGCAGCACATTAGCATATTATTAAGGCTTATAGTGCCTAACAAGAGGCTACGTAGGCTTTTAATATCAGATAGACGGGACAATGCCTTCACCAGATCCATTCCACAGCATGGTATGCAGTGAACATGCGCCTTTTTCCTCTTGTATCTCATCCTGTTAACAATATAGTGAGCGGCTATTCAAGTATGGCATAATGGCCTTGCTTGCAAAATATAGCATGCATATTATCCAATAATCATTTTACTGCTATCCCAGGTAAATTTTGGACACTAGGTAATCTGAGCCATGTAGCAGGTTTCACTGGTATCCTTTTTTATTTTTATTTTTTTAAAAGTTATACTTAGATCAGTATTAGTGCAAATTTGAATAGTGCAAAATTTGATTTAGTTTAATTTATAAACTGATACCAAGTCACGTTTAATGCAAGCCAGAATTCAATTAGTGCAAGGCTAGCATATGTGCGGTTGGGTCTAGTACATGCACAGCTGCTGTTGGGGTTTCAGACACTAATTGTCTTTTGTGTGAAATTTTTGAAGAACTACAACAGAATATAAGAGATAATGGATACATTTTGGGTGTAGGTTTATCCTTTTTTACTGTTACACATTATTTCAGTAATAAACATATAAAAATTACATTGATTTTTAAAACTACCTATTTCCATTGAGCTGGAACCAATTGCCCTACTTCCCATAGAAAAATCACTTTGAATAGTGTGAATTCAAATAATGTGACCATTTTGTGGGATTCATTAATGCACTA